GATGTGTATTACAACCAAGGATGTAATTTTTGGTTTCTTTGCCAGCATTTTCTTTCTTTAAAGGCATATAAAAACCACGATGCATCTTACAATCGATGACATCTTAGATTCAATGAACTATAGTATCTCTTTTAATTTTTAATTCGTATTTTTTGACCACTAGCGAATAGTCATGATTTATATAGATTCATTTCAGTACATATTTCAGTGTCCCAGTGTCACAATTTTTTAAAAAAAATTTTTAATTTTAGTAAAAAACACAAAACATAAAATTTATCATCTTAGACATTTTTAAGTATACAGTTCGTTAGTGTTAAGTATATTCACATTGTTGTCAATAGACCTGTAGAGCTTTTTCATTTTGCAAAACTGGAACTCTATACCATTGAAAAACTGCCCAATACTCCTCCCCTTGGCCCCTCACAACCACCATTCTACTTTCTGTTTCGATGAGTTTGACTGATTTAGATACCTCATAAAAATGGAATCATAAAGTATTTGTCTTTTTGTGACTGGCTTATTTCACTTAGCATAATGTCCTCAAAGTTCATCCATGCTATAGCATGTGACAGGATTTCCTTCTTTTTTATGGCTGAATAATATTCCACCCAGGGAATTTTTTTTTTTTAATCATAAAAATCTGTGACAACTGGCAGAGATTGCTCACCCATTTGATTCTCACAGCACGCCTAAACAACTGAAAAATAAACGATGAGCTGAGGTCCCAAGGGGTTTTCTATTCCAAAAATAAATGTTGACATTTTTGAAATTCAAAGATCAAAGAGAAATCAAGAATGTAGGTGATAAAAATCCAGGTATTTCTTAAATCAGGTATGCTACTCTGGTTTAATTTACCATGTTTTTAAGACAATAAAGACTGGATGTCACAATTGAGACTCTATAAACACATGTGCAGCGATATGATGCCCCTTCACCAGGAAACTACGCTCTTCCAAGTGTCTAGAGCACAGAGTTGAATTCCTTCCTCAAGCAAAATAGTTCACACTTTCCACCCTGTGCTGACAGCAGAGGTGATGCACAGAGGCCATTGCTGAGGCGCAGCCATGCAGGATGAGGACGGAAGGAAAACGTAGGCTATTCTAAAAGGAAGTGTATTCACCACGTCAGGTGTCATTCAGAACATGCCATGATAAAACTGAGGAAAATTACATAGCAATACCCTGAATGTGGGACTAAATTATATTTTTCTATATTTAATAATATCACTAAGATCTTTTAATTTATTTTAAATCCCCAAATCTCAGAAAAGAAAATTTACTATTTTTATACAAGAAGACCTAATAAAAATAATGTCTTAAATGGACGTGTTTATGGTTGATCACAGAACAGAGGGGTCTAATGCGCCTCACTCTCTGTTCATATCAACCACAGACTGGTGACCAACCACTTGATTCCTTTCTCTAAAAGTGGGAAGAGGGAACGCAGTATTAGAAAATAAAAAACACAAAAAGAAAAGAACGCTCTACAGAAAATCCTATCCCTAACATTGGTGAAAAAAGCATAAATTGCATTTATCTTTTCATTTCTTAAATTATTCTCTGAGTATATTTACTGTAACACATAAAAAGAAAAAGAAAAATCATAAATTTTGATTTTTGTCCTGGTGAGATACACATTTGATAATAAATATGTAGAACTGGGAAAATGCATTATGAATTGACTATTAATTTTAAAGTTTCAATTTAAAAACCTACAAACAAATTGTTTAAGCCATGATTCATATCTTTTTCCCTTCTGATATAATTCTGAACATGTATTTTACCTATAATTTTTTAGACATAAAATACATGTTTATTGTAGAAAGATGTAAGAATAGGCAAAAGAATAAAAATAAGATCATCCTCACGCAAAAAAAGAGGAAGATTAGCAATTGATGTTAGCTCAGAGCAAATCTTCCTCAGCAAAAAAAAAAAAAAAAAAAAAACCCGGCTTTGATGTCTTTATTGGAATGTCCTGCGGTCCTGGACTCTGCCTTCCAGGCCTCCTTCCTCGCCTTTTCCCTCCCGGTTGTCACACCTGCATCATGGTCTCACGGCTCTCCCTGGCTTCACTGGCCCCTCCCTTTATGCTTCACAGACGTGCTCCTAATACATCTCTTGCATGTCGAATTCATCTTGCCATCTGCCTCTCACAGGACCCAAAGTAACATGGGGACTTTGAAAACCTTTTCAACATTTGCTACAGTGATTGGTTTCTTTACGTATTTTTTACCTCTTTGGTCAGTTTCGATATTTATACTTCCCTAGAGAATATTCTCGTTTCAATATTTTCTAATTTATTACCATAGTCATTTATGATACTATCTAATAGTTTTTTTTTAACTTATGAGTATATGTGGTCAGACATGTGTATTTGTGTTTTCTTTTCTTGATTAGTGTCACCAGAGCTTTGTCTGTGATTAGCATTATCAAAGACTCCATCACTGTGTTTATCAATGTTACTGTTTCCATATTTTTACCTGTGCATTAAATATGGGGCACCAAGCAATGTAGTTCACTCCAATACACCTTAACTCAACGCTGTAACAGTTTGCCTAGGCTTTCTTTTCTTTTTTAAAAAAATTTACACAGTCCTTTAATGAAAACTGAGCAGGTCAACAAACGAGGCCCCCCCCGAAATGGCCACCATCTCTGGAGATTATTAGCTTTGAAAAGAGTTGGTGTAGGGGACTCAAGAGCTGCCTTCAATTACTTGAAGGGTTGTCATGTGACAAGGAGACCAGACATGTTGTTCTGAGTGACCACAGGAGACAGAACTACAGCCGGTCTGTGGTCAGTTGAATGAAAGGAAGAATCCTCTAAAATGAAACAGAATGGACTGCTCTGGGAAGCAGGGAGTTCTGTGTTCAGGAGGGGCTCAGGCAGATGACAACCCAGCCTCCTCGGAGGCCTTGGGCTGATGATCCAGATAACGCAGAGCACTCCTTTGCACAGACAGAGACTCTAAGATGGTCCCAAATCACCTACCCCTCCTGGTGCTCACACTCTCCTCTAAGCCCTCTGCTTGGGCATGGGTGGACCCCCTGACTCGCTTCTAACCCATCTGAACAGGGCGAAGGTGATGGCATGCCACTTCTGTGATCATCTGCATGAGAAGCCCCTCTCTTCCTTGCTGGCTTTTTAATTTTTTTTTACTTTTTAATTATATCACTATTATATATGCCTTTGAGATTATTATTTTTTTATTATTTTATTGAGGTGACATTGGTTTATAACATTATATATGGATATTTATCCAAAGAACATGAAAACACTAATCTGAAAAGATACATGCACCCCCATGTTCACTGCAGCATTATTCACAATAGCCAAGACGTGGAAGCAACCCAAGTGTCCATTGATTGACGAATGGATAAAGATGTGGTATAAATATATACACAATGGAATACTACTCAGCTGTAAAACAGGACAAAATCGTGCCATTTGCAACAACATGGACGGATCTTGAGGGTATTATGCTAAGTGAAATAAGTCAGTCAGAGAAAGACAAACACTGTACGGTTTCACTCATATGTGGAAGATACACAAACACATAGATATAGAGAACAGACTGGTAGTTACTAGAGGGGTAGGGGATGGGGGTGGGTGAAAGGGGTAAAGGGGCACATATGTACAGTCCCATTTACAATTGCAACCAAAAGAATAAAATACCTAGGAATCAATTTAACCAAGGAAGTGAAAGACCTATACAAGGAAACCTATAAGACCTTACTGAAAGAAATTGAAGATGACATAAAGAAGTGGAAAGATATCCCATGCTCATGGAATGGAAGAATAAACATAGTTAAAATGTCCACATTACCTAAAGCAATCTACAGATTCAATGCAATCCCAATCAGAATCAGAATATTCTTCACAGATACAGAACAAAGAATCCTAAAATTTATATGGGACAACAAAAAGACCCCGAATAGCCAAAGCAACCCTGAGAAAAAAGAACAAAGCTGGAGGTATCACAATCCCTGACTTCAAAATATACTACAAAGCTACAGTAATCAAAACAGCATGGTACTGGCACAAAAACAGACACACAGATCAATGCAGCAGAATTGAGAGCCCAGCAATAAACCCACACATCTACGGACAGCTCATTTTTGACAAGGGAGCCAAGAACATGCAATGGAGAAAGGAAAGTCTCGTCAATAAATGGTGCTGGGAAAACTGGGCAGCCACATGCAAAAGAATGAAAGTAGACCATTGTCTTACACCATACACAAAAATTAACTCAAAATGGATTAAAGACTTGAAGGTAAGTCCCTGGCTGGCTTTGATGAAGCAAGGTGCCACATGGAGAGGCCCACGTGGAGCTGGGGGGTGTCAGCTAACAATTGGCAAAAACCTGAGGCCTTCAGGCTAACAGCCCACCAGGAACTGAATCCTGCTGACACCCACACAAGCTGGGAAGCAGCTCCTTCCCCAGCTGAGCCTCAGATGAGACCCCGGCCCCAGCCCCAGCCTCGTGAGACCCTGAGCAGAAGAGTCAGCTAAGCCCAGATTCCTGACCCACAGAAACTGAGATAAACTGAGTTTAAACAGTTGTTTAAACTGCTCAGTTTGTGGTAATCCTGTTACATAGCAACAGATAACTAATAGACCCTTCAACTCTGATTCAATAATCACCATGGAGATCACCCCAAAAAAGGTGGCTCTATCAGTGCGGGCAGATTCTCATGACCACAAATACTAATAAAGGAGAGCGCACTGCTGATATTAGACAGGAACAGCACATTGTGAGCAATCCTAGCTTGTTTCCATGTTTGGAGCAGTCCACATAGTCTAACAGAGACGTGTAAATGGATGCAACCCTGCTCTCTCCAGATCCCCTGGGTAGGCTTCTGTGTAACACAGGTGATCCACTCTCTTAAGTCACTGGTCATTCATTTTTCTTTCCTGAAAAACTCTCTAAGGAAGACACAAGTGTTACAGATTCTATTGTCTTTAAGAAAACTAGATGCATATCCTGTCTATAAGAAAACTTACCATACCCAGGAATATCATCTCCTCTTCTCTCTCTCTTTCGGTTTTCTTATTTTGATGGAAGCCTCGCCAAACCTAAAAACAAATAAATGGTTATTTGTTTAATACATTAAAAAAAATAAAGAAAACATTGTTGCACCATTTCTCCCAGATAAACCGCACATTCCAAATGACACAATGACTGTGCAGTCAGGGTTGTGCACATGTGTGTGTGGATTTCATCTGTGATCACAGGCAAAATTTTTACAGAAAGAATGAATCACAGAAATGGCCTCTACCGCTGTCTGAGGACCCAACTGTGGATCTTGAAGAGGACCCTTGTCCCAGCGCCACCCTGGTAAACAAGGGTACTGGAGGCAGCTCCGTCCACGCAGGGACCAGACAGGATCCACACTCGCCCAAGGGCCTCGTAGCAAACCCGCCAACCCCCAAGCCCACTGCCGACCCAGCAACAGCCTCACACCTGTTAAAATGGCTATTAGCAAAAAGATCAGAGATAACAAGTGTTGGCAAGTTTGTGGAGAAAAGGGAACCATTGTGCACTATCGGTGGGAATGGAAATTGATGCAGCCACTATGGAAAACAGCATGGAGTTTCCTCAAAAAAAAATTAAAAATAGAACTACCACATGACCAGCAATCCCACTTCTGGGTATACATCCAAAAGAAATGAAATCAGTATCTCAAAGAGATATCTACACCCCCGTGTTCACTGCAGCATTATTCACAATAGCCAAGAATGGAAACAACCCAAGTGTCTCTTGATGGATGAATGGATAAAGAAAATGTGCTATATCCATACAATGGAATATCATTCAGCCATGAAAAGAAGGAAATCCTGCCATTTGTGACAACACGGATGCATTTTGAGGGCATTATGCTACGTGAAATGAGACATACAGAGAAAGACAAATACTGTGTGATCTCACTTATATGTGGGATCTAAAAATGCTGAAACAGAGAGTAGATTCGTGGTTGCCAGGGCCTGGGGGGTGAGGGAAAGGGTGAAGGTGGTCAAAGGTACAAATTTCTAGTTATAAGATGAATAAGTTCTGGGGACCTGATGTGCAGCATGGTGACTCCAGTTAACAATACTGTCTTGTATACTTGAAATCTGCTAAGAGAGATGATCTTAAATGTTCTCACTATAAGAAAAAATGGTAATGATGTGAGGTGATGGAGGTGTTAATTAACCTTACTGTGGTAATCATTTTGCGATATATACGTATATCAAATAATGATGTACATCTTAAACTCACACAAAGTTATATGTCAAATATACCTCAATAAAGCGGGGGAAAAAAAATAAATGACCTATAATTCTGGTTAGTGGGATTCCCCTACCCGGGTTTTTTTTGAGAGAAACTTCTAGATTGCAGGAGTGTGGTGCTAGATCTAAGGGTGGCACTTCACAGTTTCAGAAGAAAAGTTTCCACTGTAATGTGGGGAAATATAACACAGTAACGTGCAAGAATTTTACAACTAAAGCTGTGAACTCAGATGCTCATCTAAAACTTCATATCCCACAGAAACTTGAATGAAAAGAGTCTCTGATCTGTCCCTCCCCACCCTCCCTCCACTCCCATTCAAACACCATTAGGGACAAAAGTCCTGATCTGGCTCTATTTTATGTCCTCATACTTGCTTTCTCTCTAATCTAATTCTCATTTGTGTCACACTGCCATTTTCTGCATTTTCCTATAAGCGTCTTAACTTCCAGTTGAGAAAAGATGGGATACAAGTCAACGTTCCTGACAAAAGGAAGGACACCTCCAGCCCACCGCTAAAAGGAACATCAGTGTTCTGGTTATTAGTGATAGTGCTGGGATTGTTGCGAATGGCACGTGTTTTGCAAGCTAGCAGGTGTTAACCCTTGCTCCCCTTCTGTAATTATGTCTGCGTGTAAATGTATTTTTAAAAATTCATCAACGTTTTATATCCTCACTGAATTTTTAGCAACACGCTTTCCAACAATTATCAAAGATCTTTAAAAATATTTGAATAAAATGCACTGCATTCTATATCTTTGATAAAACATGACCAAGACTAGCTGGTGCCCCACGGTAGGATCATCAATTATTCTGGAATTTAATCTAGTTCTACTAAAGGTAGGATTTTGGAATTTTGAGTTTCGAAGCTCACCCCCGACTGTGGTATGCATTTCTAGCTGTGTCAAGACACCTTGCCCCCCCAGCTCCAAGAGCCCCACATTCGCACCTTCTGAATTCGCAAGGCAGCAGCCCCTGCATCTGCTATTCTCTCGCCAAGTATCCTGGCTTGCTTTGCCCTATATTCTTGAAGAAAGATTTGCTTCATGAACGTCGCTCTTAGGCGACCCTGTCGTGCCCTCTCGGCGATCTGGATTACTTTAACAGCCTCTTCTAGGGGGATACCCTTTATACGGTATTTCTGCAAAAAACATTTAAGATGAATCAATGTTTAAACATGTTAAATGCATCAACTGATCCCAGAAATATCACAGGCTTATTTCCAACCTCACTCTAAGAGTCCCGAAACTGCTGATAAAGAGTGTCGTAGCCACTCAATACTAATCATTTTTCCCATGAATTATGCATATTTTGACAATATACCATGCTTATGCTGTGGTTCCATATTTAAGGATCTCATAAGCCTTCTTCTACCATTGAACAAAATACTAATTAGCTCCACCATATTTTAGGTTGGCAGCAAATTATACTAGGAATGACAAAAAAATGGATTCAATAAAACTTGGAATTGCGATCAATGTTTCGTTAACTTAATATTAGAGACACGAAAGTTAACAACACTTCTCTAATATGAGAATTTAAAAGGTAAAATACACATGAAGTAAAATGCTGACTTTAAAATCAATTACAGAATGATCTAGTGAATATGAACAATGTTGAAATCACTTAGAAATATTTTCCTTTATGATGTGTCTTCCAGTACCTACAAATTTGCATTTTAAAACATCCAAACGTGATGGGTACTATTAAGACTGAGAAGAATCAAGCTCGTGCAGTAAAATAATGTCTTTGGAGAACTCAGGTGGGGTTTGTGGGGGCAAAGTCAGGCGAGGGGCTGTGCCACTTGTGGAGGGAAGAGGGAGAAGCGAAGGCTGCTGGGGCATCCAGAGGCCGTGAGCTCCGAGTGGGCTAGGCGTGAAGCCCTCTGTTGTTCCTGTGCACGTGCAGTGCACGTGTCTTGGCTTGGGCAGAGCCTCACGAGTGGAGGGAGGCAGAAGGGAGAGCCCATTTGAATCAGAACAACACTGAAGCACGAGCTGAGTCCTTTTCCAGGCCTCAGAGGGCGGTGACGGCCACCATGACAGGACATGGCGCAAGACACTGAGGTCCCACGTGGGGCAGCTCCAATTCACCACCTGGGCCACAGTTTCCCAGGATGATCGCTTCTCTGTGTAAGGGGGGCGGGGGGGATGCACAGGGAGGAGCAAGAAGGAGAGGGAAGGGACACTTCCTGAGAACTGACAGACGCCAGCTGCTTTCATATGTATTCTCATCAAATTCACAAAGCAACCTCCAAGGCAGGAATTACTGTGCCCACTTAAGAGTTAAGAAGACTGAGGCTCAAGGAAGTGAAATAGCTTCCACAGGTCCCCATGGTGGTAACGGGTGGAGCCAGTCTGAACGGAGACAGACCCTCCTTCTCCTGAAGCATCCACTGTTCCCCAGTGAGGCCCCTCCTTAGGAGGAAGCTCTTCCACACAACAACTCCTCAGAGTTTCATTTTCAGTGAGATCTAATCGCTTCAAATTTTCAGTAAGCACGCATTTCCTATGATGCACTTTGCATGTAGATAGAGTGACTGTTATTCTGGCATTAAATCATGATGTAGGGAAAAGCACCAAAGCGTATAGCAGGTGCCCAGCAAACATTTGTTACTATTGTACTGATTTCCTTTAGATTCCATACTGTTGTTCTGAAAATAATTACAGCTCTTACTGAACACTTCTAAGGGATTTGGAGTAGTCCACTCAATGCGACAAAGATTTCTGAACATTGAGGGAGGCCCCAAGAGTAAATGTTAAGCATTATAAATGTAGGCATGGGTGATAATTTTCCTTATCAAAATTCTTCTTGTGGTCTATACTGCATATACCTTCAAGAAATAAGCAGCTTAAGGTAAGAGTGGGAGTCCAGCAAGACACCGAGGGGCATGGGAAAGTCACACGGGTGCCCAGGGTCGTTGACCAGAGCCGCGTGTTTTGCTGAGCATTAGGCATCTGGAATAGAGATGGGGGTGGAGATGAATGGCTCTACCTAACCAAGCAAGCAGAGCCTGCCAGGGCTGGATGCTGAGTGAAGGAAGAGGGGGAACCTTCCTGCGCTGACCCCGCACAAACAGAGCAGGACGGGGGGTGGGGGAGGAGAAACAACAAAGAGGAATTTTTAGGGTTTTCTGTAGTGTGTACGATGTAATCTCCCTTCTCCATTGCCCCTATAGAATCTTCAGCGACTTCTGCCCTGCTTTTCAATGCTTTGTGCCAGGGGATGCCTTTGGGGGAACTCAATGAAGTGTCAAGTGCTTCGTTCTGACTGATGCAGGACTGAAGGCACAGACACAGGAGTCTGGAGGTGAAAGGATGGCTAGATGACCCCCAGGCAAGTCAGCCTGGGAATCTCCTTCAAGGAATGTATAATGTAGAAGGGCCAGTGACTCAGGGGAGAGGTGTGGGAAGGAGGGGTGGTTTGAGTTGGGTGGGTCAGGAAAGGTTTCTTGAGGGATGCTGTCTCAAGGCGGGCTCTGCAGAATGAGTACCATTTTGACAGGCTGGGATGCCGGGAGAAGAGCAAGCCCTCTATGCAGCATGAAGCATGTCTACGCAAAGGGAGAGAGAGCACGGGGCTGGCTAATGCGGTGCATGCACTTCACCTGTTTCCCACGCCATGCAGACAGGGCACATCCTTCTCTCTCCCCCCGCCATTCTGGGTGCACCTGGAATCTTCCTTAACACTGTGACCCAGACTGGCAGTATCCAGTGGGGCCTACCTGTAGGGAGACCACGTGCACCCATCCTCCCTGTGCACGCTGGTCTGCACTGCGGTCTCAGCAGTTACTGACAGCGCCGCTTTCCCTCTGATTTGTCCCAGTTTGGATGGTCAATTGCCACCTTACTGCTTGGGCCACGAAGACCAGCCAGAGGCGCGAGGCACTGATCGTGAGGGCAGTGAGGGCCACCGAGATGCATAAGCAGACTTGCCAGAGGGTTGATACGGCAGTGCCATGTGGAGAGGACTGGAAGGAAAAGACTTCCCCCTGGAAGGCCCAGTGGGAGATGACAGCAAGGATCCAGGAGAAGGTAACGCGAGTTAGAACTAAGACAGCCGTGAAAATGAGAAGGTGGAGTTGCACAAATATTGAGGATAAGGGAGGGAGGGGGCTGGAGAACTGACTGGATTCTGCTCTTGGCTTTCCGGGGCCGGGGGCTCTTGAAGGATTTTTTTCCCCTTTCCCTGCAGACAGTCCATTCGAGGTGATCCACGTGTCACTCCACTTGAAGTTATAAAAGGTCACTGAGTTCCTAGTAAGTTATCTCAGCACTCAGTTATTTTATACGAACAACATTCAGCTTCTGACTTTAGGCTAGGTGAATTTGAGATAAAAAATTAAACCGAGCTGATAATCTCCTCAATCTTAGAGATACCGATTTTAACCAACAAAATATTATGCTTTGATCTCTAAGTTCTTGAGAAACAATGGCTATGAATCAACAAAAACACATCCCAAAGTTCGGCAACTTCTTACAAACTGAATGACGATGGGGGATGGTACCGCTGTCCTCACGATGAAAAGAATCTACTTGTTTCTCACACAATTCAGGGCAGTGGAAAAGGAGGTTTCACAGATTATCGAATGACGTTTGTTAAAATGATATACAAACCGTGTCAGTTACATCTAATCCAATGTCGGCTAATATTTGAGCAAGGATTTTCTCTCTTCCTTTTATTACTTCCATCTTCTCCTTCAAAAAATACTTGGGTATGGGAATATCTAATTGTTGCTAGAAAAGAGAAAGAATAAGTAAAAGAGCATTTTTGTCAATTCCAGGACTCACATTTATTTAAAATACACACTAAGGATGTGTGCATCAAAAAGACTCACTTTACTTGTCATCCTCATTTAAGGGATGATAAGGCCAGTGGAATAAAGAGAATTCGTTACAGGAGACACAAATACAGTCAAAAGGGAAAATCATAACCATGTCCCTTGCTTTAATCATTACTGTAAAACTTCAGTAATTCATTTCAGTTAGGCCTCAATTAACTAATGATAACAATATATTTCTTTAAAGAAATATAATACCCTGTCAGCCTACCTAAAATAATAATGCAAATTAGGATAGTAAAGTATTGAGCTGTAGAGATCTTTGAATTAAACCTAATAACTTATCATTAAATCATTTATCATCAACTATTTGTATGTAAATGGTCACATTTTTTCCTAATAATTTGGTTTTATTTTTACCTAAATTACCCTGTTACAAAAATTACTTACAAAATTAATTTGCTTTATTAGGAAACTGGATTTTTACACAATAAATATAAACTTCTGTTCTTCACTTGTGTCTATTAACAAATTTGAAATTAGTGGAGGTCAAATGAACATTTGCCAATCCAAGTTCAAAAACCAGGAGTGTAGAAGTGTTATTCAAGTATATGGGTGGGCCCTTGGCCAACCTCATTGAGAAACACTGTCCTAGATTCTCCATCCGACAGTCCTGGCTGCCCTCCAGTAGACTAGTTGACTGGGGAAAGCTAGGGTTCTGGTCCTTAGGGTCAGCTTCCCTTTTTCTCCCATTCAGATGTGACTCCCCGTACCCTCCTTCCAAACCAAGGAATTTTGAACAGGTCTTCCCTTAAATAGCATAAAGGCGTGTCTTTTTAGGACTTGGTGGGATGGTATCCCCAGGACTTCTGGGAGGTGGCAATAGTTTTTTGAAACCAAAACTTTCTCTGGCCAGTGGAGTACTTGGGGTGAATTGAGAGTGAGTTTCCAGGGTCCAGTGGGTGAGTGTGGCCTCGGGATGGAAGACAGTTAGAGGAGAATGATTACACTTTTATTTAATGTTGTGATTGTATTTATTAATAAGCATGTTCAAGTGTTATACTTTTCTAACTTTTAAGACAAAACTTCATTGACACAGCTCCACCTGGTCCATTTAGGACCATAAAATTATAATTAGGATTTTGAGGGTGAGGAAACAGAGGAACTGAGAACGGAAGGGAGGGGAAGAGAGATGTCAGTTGCTCTGGGTTTGCTGCTGGATCTCCATCCACGATACATTTTATATCCACCCCAGATACCTTAGGGTTTCTCATCCTCTATGGGGTGGAATCAAGGAAACTTCTGGTGGCAGAGAAACTCTCCCCTACATGTTTTTCTACATCAGAGGATCTATTAGGGAAGGCTCCTTATGTGGCAAGTTATAGAAACAGCCTGCTGGCTGGTTTTGCCAAGAGGGGACATCGATGGAAGGATCTGGGACCTCGTGGAACCAGAGGAGGAACATAGCTGAATGTCTGTCAGCAACAGGGATGTGTCTAGGGATGAAGATGGCTTCAGGACTCGGCCATTTATTTGTGCTCCTCTTGCTGAGTCTGCTTTGTTCTCCCTCTCTCTCTTTCTCTCTGAAGAGCAGCTTCCTCCATTCTTCCAAGTGAACAAAGTCTCCAGCTACTTACAAGTTTGGGAGACTACAGTCCAGACCCTGAGATAGAAACTGGTCTCTCTCTCTGTCTCGGTTTCAGAATCTCTCAGAGAAGGGCTGGCTGGCGCAGCCACCAGGGTGCCCATCCCTGAACCAATCAGCTATGGTCAGGGTGGGGGTCATATTGGACAAATATCTGGGTGCTAGTGCAACAAAATATAGAGGAGCTGCCGGCTGTGCAGGTGACAGCCACAGAGGCCCAGACACAGTGGATGCTGGTTGGTGGGGCTTCCAACCTGAAATGCAGAACTGGGCCGCACAGGAGTTCCCAGAGGCTGGTACACGTGTGTCTCCCTGGCTAGAGCACTGTTTATAGAGTCCATCCTGCTGCTGTTGGACGCACCCTCTAACCACCTGGACCTCAGTGCCATTACATGGCTCAATCTGGATGCTGCTGCTCATTGATTATCCCTCTCAGTGCTCAGTGGCCCCATTACTATGAGAACAATTGCATGGCCTTCAAGAAGATGAACCAGTTGAAGCACAGGGGCTGGCTGACGCAGTATGAAAAGCAGGAAGAAAACTGAGGAAGCCCACTATACAAATTTCATCAACTTCTTATTCCCTAATTTAGAAATATTATTTAATGTTCTTGGAATTAAATTAATAAATTTAATATTACTTTATTAACTAAATTTAGGAATATGATTTAATGACTATTTAATTCATGTTTATCCTAAGTTGTTCTTACCATTTTCACATGGGTGAGTAAAAGTACATCTGACCTAAAAAATCTAGTGGCTTAATCCATGCTCTTATAAAAGAATGTACAAAACATGAAAGTTCTGGAATGATCTTCAACATTTTCCTTCATTTCTGTTATTCTCTTTAGTCCATTCTGGTAAAATGCAATAATAATCCAGGACTGGTGGCAAACACGGTTGATAGTCTCCTACCAATGATAGGAAAGTTCATCCCATAAAGAAACCTAGCCTTTATAGAAGCCAAAATAGTTTCAAAAGGAAGAAAGATTAAATCCCATGTAGAAAATTAAACACTTTCTCCTTTTAATTTTATTTTAGGGAAACATTCCTTTCAAAACGAAGTCTGAGCTTATAGTACCATGACACTGAAGCGAGGTGTCCACTGGCCCCTGGCAGACCCAGCCTGACAGAGTGTCAGAAGAGATCCTGGGCATCTGGTGGCGAAGGTCAGAAGGGCAGCGGCAGGTGCCCAATGCTCACAGGAGGGCGCTGTGGTTACACGTGCTGGCAGGGAGCTCTAGGGTAGCAGAGAGAGAGAACGGGAGGAGCCCTTCTTTGGTGTCTGAGGCTCGAAGGCCCATGGCCATACATCCCCTCATGTCACCACTGACCCAAAGCACAGGAAGAGATGCGTCCACCTGGGAACAAGGAACCAGCAACCAGCAGGCTCCTCATCTAGAAGACGATGACGGAAACAGAGGCCAGAGAAGGATTTCCTTTGGAAAAAGAAGTAGGGACACGGCTATTGGAAATTGGGAGGGTTTGTGCCACAGGATATTTGTGAAAGGGTCAGCCTACTCCATCCCAACAGGCCTGGGCAGACTCCATGGTGACCAGTAAGACCACAACAACCTCCGTGTCCAACAGACCCAAGGACTGTGCAAAGATTCGTCTGTGGCCCAAACTAAGGGAACCCAATCCTTGTGCACAGCAGTATGGTCTAATTGAACGACTATGTTTCAACTTGTAATACAACAAACAACTAGTAAATATGTCTAGAAAGTCTGTAGAATATCGGTTATGGGCCTACATATCATATTTAAAACAAACAGAAACTAATAAGAAAACACCCCGAGTACTCACGGGAGCCAAATTTAGATCCTGTAAGATGTCGTCAAAATAATGAAACTCGGTTAATTCCAATTCCACCATTTCATTCTTCAGTTCCAGGATGCGACCCATCACTCCATCCAGTATTTTTCGGATCAGTCTTCGTTTCTGTGGGTGGACGATCTGGTCGTAGACATTCTCCAGGTTTCTAAAGATCTGCACGTACTTAATGTAGTAGGTGGCCAACATCTGGAAGATGGACACTTGATTTCTTTGCGGTTCTATCATCTGAGACTCTTTATCGAGCAAAGAATTGAGGGCTTCTTGGGTCTCATGCCACATCTTATTATACATTCTGAGGGAAGACAGAGAGTTCAAAGGATACAGTAAGTAAAAATTACTTTGTAAGGCATATATATTGGGCATCTGGCATAACAAAATATAACTCACCATCAAATGGGAGCTAAGACTACTGCATGCAGTTATGGGGCTCTTTAGATGACTTATGTCCTATTTTGACATGCATGCAATTTTTGGATATGACCACTGCTACTATTATCAAATAAATAATATAAAAGCCTTTCCCCTAAATGATATAAAGTGATTCTTCACTACACCCATAAAGCCAGCATTATTATACCCATTTAAAAGATGAAGAAGTTGATGACCAGAATAGTTAACTGACTTGTCCACATACACAGCTGACAGAGAATAAACTGGCACAACCACTTTGGAAAGTAATTCGGCATCATCTTGTAAAGGTGAACACGTGCACACCCTATGAATGAACAGTTACGCCCTAGAGAAACTCTTGGAAATCTGCATCAAGAGTGACCACAGTAGCATTTATTTATAGCAGCAAAACCCCAGAGATAATGCTATGTCCATGAACAAGAGAATGGATGAATAAATTGGGGTCTAGTCACCAACAGACTATTACATAGCAGTGAAAAATGAATGAATTACAGCTGTAAGCAACAGCCATGAACCTTAGAACCATAATGTACAGTGTAAAAAGGCGCAGACCATGGCCCGGAGGCTGACCTCTACGGGCTGCATCATGGTGCTCCTGGCCCTCAGCTGCCAGCTGGTTGAGTCAGCGGAAAGAGCAGACAGGAAGCCAGAGGTCGGGAAGAGAGAGAGAGGGAGGTATGTCGTCTCCCACTGCCTCCCTCCCTGGAGAGTCAATCAATTGTTGGGAGCCTCCTTCCACCAAAGGCTCAGGGTGGGGATGGCTCTGCCCTGGCTAGCCCCAGGACACACGCCATTCCTTGTGGGTTTCCCTAGACTCCCGTCCACACCTTTGTCACTGGTCCCTTTATTAGCCCCCCTGCTGAGTGTGCCATCCTTTTCCTGCCTGGACCTTGACCAACACATGCATGGCAGAGACTTTTATTTTTTTTAAATTTTGGGTGTTTTGGGGCTGTTTTTTTACATTCAACAATCAGAACCGAAAAGCTAACCGGAGGTTCATTGTGTCTGGGAAGGGGCTTATCAACCGGTGGGCTTCACCGGGGGTGGGCAGGACCCTGGCTATTTCCCTGACGAGGGTGAAACCCGCAAATGTCGGGGTCTATCTGTTAGGTCTCTGCTGTGCTGGTGGGCGGGGCTCCAATCTCTGCCTGGGAAGCAAGCGGGTCAGGTGGCCGAGGGCTCTCACTCCCTCTTCGCGGTCGGCCTGGCCTCTCGTTCCCACGCTCACCTGTGCCTGGCGTCCGAGTCCAGGACGCCTGCACGTGCCTCTTCCGCCGGGACGGGAGTGGCTTAGCGCCTGTCTCCGGGGGCCACATGCCCCTGATGCTGAGCTACGATCAGTCCTCCCAGTTTCAGCCCCACCTCGGAGGACCAGACCTTCCCGCCCTCTTCCCAGGCTCTGCCGGAACCGCTGGCTTTTTTTTTATCCTTTTCCCCTCCGCTGCCCTGCAGGTCTGCGTCCTCTGCCCCGCCTCTGCCCTGCCTCCGCGCTCTCCTCCACGTCCGCTGCCCCTCCTGCTCCTCCGTTTTCCCGGTCTCGCCTGTCGAATGCTCAGACGTCCTCTCACCTTGTAAATCCTTTATTGCCGTTCTGGAGGCGATTCAGGAGGTGGAGGTACACATACACCTTCAATCCACCTTGTTTGACTGGGACTCCCTCCTTCACCTCCCCACGGTCATCACCAGGCATCACCAGTCCCAGTGGGACTCTGCTCTGGTCCCACTCCCTGCCATTCCTCCACACGCCCCGCACCTGCCTGTGAGCGAGACGTTGTGCACATCCCTTCCTGGAACTCTGGCCACGCTCTGTGCCCTGTGTAATCCTCGCCACGTTCCGTGAGAGCGGGCCCCCATTACTCCCGCCGAGGGGGGAGCACGGAGATGGCTGTTCCTAGGTGGTGAGGCCAGTGTTGGAATACCGGTCTGTGATTCCAAGCTCGGAATTATTCAACACTGTACCGCCACCCCGACCTCTTCCAAAAATTAAAGAACCACCACAACAAAATACACAACCGTAACTTGTGCCAAGATGACGGGCGAGAAACAGAATCTCATAGTTTTAATGTCCCTTCACGCCACTGCTAACAAGACTAAATGCCTTTCCACATGCGTATCAGGCATTTGCAAGTTCCCTTCCTTAAACTGTTTATCCATTTGTTTTGCCTGTTTTTACACTGGATTGTTTTTCTATTAACTTGTGGGGGTTCTTCATATACTCTGAGGATTTATGCATTCCGAGGCTTGCCTTCCAGCTAAGAAGCTGGTTTCTATGACCCAGAGCCGGCAGTGGGTGCTCTCCCTCTGCCTCTGTCCCAGCCGGAAAGGGCAGTCCTTCCGAATTCACACAGGGGTGCCGCTCCAGTCCTCCTCGTAGGTCTGGTCCCAGGCCCCACAGGGGCTGAAATCCCAGAGCACACTGCCAGTGGCCTGCTCACTGCTATGGGTTTCCACTCTGCTACCGGTGCAGTGATTTCCAACTTGGATTAAAAAAAACAAGTTCTTAATTTTTCAATTTAAAATATTTTTATTTTATTTTATAATTTAATATTATACTATTAAATATAATATTAGTATAATATTGTAAATTAGTCTAAATTCAAAAGGAAAATTAAAAACTTTTTAAAAATAAAATTTTTACAACAATTTTTTAAAGGTAATGGGCCAGCCCTGGTGGCCTAGTGGTTAAGTTCAATGCACTTCACTTCGGCAGCCTGAGTTCAGTTCCTGAGCTCAGACCTACACCACTGGTCAGTGGCCGTGCTGTGGTGGCAGCCCACATACAAAAAATAGAGGAAGATTTGCAACAGATGTTAGCTCAGGGCGAATCTTCCTCAGCAAAAAAAAAAAAAAAAAAAAAAAATTAAAAATACTTTAAAAATTATCTTTTATCTATCATTTTTATGTGGTTGGAGCAGAGATGGGAGATTTTCATCTTCCTGGCCAAAAGTTAACATTCTTTCTTGATATGAAAAGTCTTTTGGATTCCAATTCAGATGATGATGATGATGGTAACAGCTCACATTTGTATAACATCAGTCACTGCTGCTGTTCTAAGTGCTTTACATATATTAGCTCATGTAATCCTCAACAACCCTCTGAGTTAGGTATTATTATTACTCCAGTTTGCAGATGAGGAAACTGAGGCACAGAGTCAGGGAATCTGAACACAGGATTTGTAGCCAGGCTGTCTGGCTCTGGAGCTCATGCTCTGAACCACTACGCTTTACTGCCTCCTGTTCATCAGGGTGAAAGCAAACGAGAGGTGACAAACCGTGTGGCACAGATGGGATAGATACCACAAGAAAACAAAGATTTACAGTTACAAGAGAAACTTTTCCTCCTCCCAGCCCCCGCACCCCATTGAGTTTGGATACTGAATATGGCCTCTGGCACTCCATCCGTTAGGTTCAAGCACCAGATTTCTGCAAACTTAGCAACATTTTAAGAATATTGCTAGTGAAAGAGCACTCTGCTAGACAACTTTATTATAAGAGAGAATGTTATTATCAAAAAGTTAGAGTTCCATTTAGCACAGGACATTTCACTCTGTGCATAATAAATGACTATAAACAGTGCTATTTACCAGGAACAACCCCATAAAAGAACAGTAACAACAAAAGCAGTATCTTCTGCCTGTCCAAGGCATCAGAGTGTTTTGGCGATTCTGCTTGCCATGCTCAAAAAGACAAGCTAACAGGAGAGGGTAGGAGGACGCGAAAATGACCGGGGAACTGATGTACTGTGTCTGACAGTAAACAGGCGCTTCTCCAATATCTGCCTGGAGAACATAAGATTGTGAAGGGCCCGGGGAAGGTGCACATGTTCTTAGTTTACCAAAGCCCAGATGTCTAGCATCTGAGGAGGGGGCAGCGGACCCAAGGCCTTCAGTGACCTGATGGGGGACACAGGCTGCCTGTACCTACAGGCTTAACAAATGTTCACATAAAACAAAAAAACCACTCCCTTCGTTTTGTGGACTAAATAGGGTTTGTGGCCTAAACCTGTCAGGACAACATTGCAGAAGAAAATTACAGGCTAATTTTGTTTAGAACTTGGATGTGAAATTCCACTTAGCAAACAGAACATGGCGCCAGATCAAAAGAGTCCTTCCCTTTGACCAACAAGGGGTCATCCCAGGAATTTGCGAGACTTCAACATAAAGGAAAACTGAACTAAATACAGCAACAGAACAGCAAAAACCGCAGACTATTTCCACAGATGCCAGGAAGATACTCAATAAATTTTAATTTATGGCACATGCCTGATTAAGAATACTGTCCCCAAATCCCAAAGAACAGACGACGATGACCTCTTCAAAATGGTGAAAACCAGAGACCAAAGATATTTTCACTAGAGAAACACTAGAAATATACCCTAAAAAATAGGAGGAAAAAGAGGATGAAGCAGCTATAGAAGAGATTAATATAAATATATTATAAATTATATTTATGTTTTAAATATAAAATAAATATAAATATAATATAAATTAATATAAAAGGGATTAGTACAGCAAAGTTGCAAGACATAGATAAAACCCACAAAAACTAAATGCAGAGGAAAAAACAAAAAAAGAAACCCCATCCACAGTACTGATAAAGAACATTAAACATTCAAGAATTAACACGGTGGGAGCCACACAAGATCCAGCTGAAGAAAATTCTAGAATGCTAGCTGCAGAGGCTAGGAAGAGGCAGAAGGCACTATTTGCTTCTGCCTGGAGAGACGAGATATAAAGAAGGCAGACTCCTGAGACCGACATGCAGATTTAATATTACCAAGAATTTGGTAATAATATACTGGGGACTCTATAAATAAATCTAGTCATAACTTCTAAATGTGGGGCAGAGTCGATAATAAAAGATAAAGGGCATCTTCTCAGACTTCAAAGCATTTAACACACCAGGAAGCATTAAGGTTGTAGGATACACCACCCACAGAGGCTGCCTCCGTAGGGTACAGGTGGGGTGACCTGAATCCCACAGAGACCCACACGCATCGAGAGCAAGGGATCTGGGGTAGACGAGTCTTCCACCAGGGAAACAACAGCCCAATTAATGGATGGAGCGCACCTCACATTTAAGAATGCCTAGACTCTTCGAGGCAGACCCAGCTGGGGGAAGACTTATTGCCCCAGGGCAGTGCACTCATGGCCTTCCATCCAGGGCCCGAGAGGCAGGAAGCCCTCCAGGGCCATGGCAGAGCGGACCCTCAACTGGAACTTTTGGCCAAAGACCATCCTGGTGGCTTGAGCCTTCCAAGTCCTCCATATGGGCTGCAGCCTCTTTCTTCCTGACCTGCTATCTTTCCAGTGCCCGTTGTTGGAGAGACCAGGCAAAGGCTGTTGGCTCATGGGGAAATACCAAGCAGCCCTGTGAGCCGGCCAGGCCCTGCACCATGACTCTTCTCCCTGGAGGCTGACTTTGGCTTCAGCCCTTTCAGTCTCCTTTCTGCCCTGAGGCCCTGCCACGTGTGTCCACTGGGCCACAACCCCAGCACTCCCTGCACTACCACGGGCCTGGCCACCGCGCCTCGGCCAGGCCAGCCTGGGGAGCTCCCCCTTCCTCGAAGCTCAGGTCTGGCTTGAGCCCCACCCTGCCTCGTGGCCCTGTGGTCTCAGCACCCTTCCCAGTGCCCATGAAGATAACGTGAGACAAGAGATGTGGCGAGATGATGTTACAGGAAGAGCATCATGAGATGTAATTCACACACCATAAGTTCACCCTTTAAAGTGTACAAATCAGAGGTTTTTAGTATATTCACAGAGTTGTGTGACCATCAGCTTTATCTGATTTCAGAACATTTTCATCACTCTGAAAAGAAACACGGCACCCATTAGCATCACTCCCTACTTGCCATTATTTCCCTTCCCCCTAGCCCCTGGCAACCACTAATCTAATTTCTGTCTCCATTTATTTACCTATTCTGGACATTTTACAAAAGTGGAATCATATAATGAGTGGCCCTTTGTGACTGGCTCCTTTCACTTAGCATGATGTTTTCAAAGTTCATCCATGTCATAGAGGGACTCAGTACCTCCTTTCTTTTCACTGCCGAATAATATTTTGTTGCATGTATACATCACAGTTTATTTATCCATTCATCAGCTGATGGACACGTGGGTTGTTTCTGCCTCTGGCTATGGTGAAAGATGCTGCTATGAGTTTTTGTGTGGACACGTGTTTTCATTTCTCTTGGGTATGGCAAGGTGGTTGTTAAAGGTAAAAGTGCCATAAGTTTAAAATTGGAAACTGTCTCCTGAGTAGTTGGTCTCAGGCAGGTCACTCAACCTCCTTGTGCCTTCACTTCCTCAAGCGGCAAATCTGGATACTGACGCCTACCCTGGACACCCCAAGGCATTACTGTGGGATGGGATAACAGACGTGAAGTGTTCTTGAAATTGTAAATGTGCCTTGTAGGGCAGTATCTTATCCAGGAGATGACTTACGATTTTTTTTAAGTACATGATTGGTTTCAGACTTGAGCCTATGACCTAGAAATGTTACAGATATTGAAGTCAGGAGGACTGTGGGTGAATATGACAGTTGATAAAGACCAGATTGTTATTTCTATAGCTTGGCAGTTTTCTTATAAGAGGGAGGCGGGTAGGGAAAGATCTGAATATTCAGGTATACCATGTACTTGGATGGAAAACCTAAATACTACAAAATAGGAATGCTCCCTAAGTTATTTTATACATGATAACGTTCAAATTCTTCCAATATTATCCTATTGTTCATCATCTTTCTGGAATATTCCCTCGACTTTCTTGCTCTAAGGGAGGCCTGGCTCTCCCTTAAGGACACAGCTTCCCCAGCAGCCCTCTCAGAAGAGGCCTCCTTTCTGCCAGACTCTTCCAACCACTGGTTGGATGGAGCAGGGTCAGGGGGCCTCCTTGCTCCTCACTGTCACTTCCAGAACATTCTCCCTCCCTTCCCCTGATACTCCCTAGCTCTGGACCTCATTTTGTCAGATGGTATCGCCCCCTGCCCCTCAGTGTCGCTGTTGTCTACCATCTGTATCATGTTTCAGGTCCCACCAGGACATCTACCCACCGAATAGCATCCTTACTGACAGACTCTACGCTGCCTTCTTGCTGTTCCTGTGATAAACGACCTGAACTCCTCTATCCGAAACCAACACCTCGAGCTGTCCGCGGGGCCCAGGCCCTCACTAGCCAGGACGTCACCCATTTCACCCTCCTCCTCTCCTATCATCCTGTTTCCTTTACCACTGGGCCATTCCTTTCAGCAAACAAATACGCTATTGTTTTCCTATCTTAAAAAAGTCTGTCTCCGGACCCCACTTCCCCAGACACTGGCTACAGCAAAACTCCTTTAAAAGGTTAGCCACGCCCAGTGTCTGCAGTTTGTCCCGTTCCTCAGTCCCTCCTGTTCTCGCCTCCACTCACTCCAGTCCGTCTTTCTACTCCGTCACTCCGCTGAAGGCCAAGGTCACCACTGGACTCCACATGGCTAAAGCCACAGTCACTTCTCAGCTCTCCTCTGACTTGTCTCAGCAGCATGTGACAGTTTGTCACTTCTCTCCTCTCCCCCCGGGCTCCGGGCCACCACCATCTTGCTTCCTCCTCACTGACCATCCCTTTTCCCTTTGCTGGTTTCTCCTCTCCTCCCCGATCTCTTCCATTGGATGCCCCACGGCTGAGTCCCTGCACCCCTTCTCCACTCTGTGTGCACCCCTTCCACGTCCTGTAGAGACCAGCTATAAGTCAACAGTTGTCAAGTGTCTATTTCATACACAGACGTCTCTCCTGAACAAGACTTGAATGTTCAGCTGCCTACTTGGTCTCCTCCTGCTGTCCAACAGGCACGTCAAACCCAACACATCCAACCCTGAACCCCATCTCCCCACCTGCAAAACCTCATCAACCCTTAATCTCTGCTCTTACTTCCTCCCCTCGAAAACAGGGTTAGTAATAGGACGCATGCAGGCTGGAGCTACAGGGCCTGGGTTGGCACTGCCTACTTGCTGCATGTGAACTACTGAGGCTCTTTGTGCCTGAGTTTCCTCATCTGTAAAATGGAGATAACAATATAAACAGCTCCTACACTATAGGGGAGTTGTGAAGATTAAAACAGTCATTATATTTCAAGCACTTAGAACAGTGCCCGCAGAGGCAGCACATGTTTGAAACGATCACTATGAAGAACAGATGAACTAACTGGCAAGCAAGGGCTCGCCACGTATACACAAGGGCTGTGTACACGGCTGGGCAGACACCCTTTCCAGTGCCACCATTCACCAGGTGTTCCCTGGTGAAAAGCAAAGACACCATAAAGCTTCCTCAAGACCTTTCTTGACTTAATACCGGGACCCGGGTGTTTTCACAAAGAAATCCATATATTGCCGTGAAAGATTAACAAAAAAGTGGGCAATGTACTGAACCTGCTGAAGGGACTGCTTCCTCAAATATACGTCAACAGGGCTTAGCAGGCGTAAGCAATGGGCCTGGAGGAGTTCATCCCCATGGGGGGAGGGGGTAGTGAGAGCAGGAGGAGGAAGATCTAAGTGTGCGGCATCCCTTGTCCACAAGAAGCTGCTACCTATCCTGAGGCATATCTTCATTTGCTAAAACGCAAAAAGAAGGAGGGGAGAGGGGGAGAAGAACAGAAAAGTGGAAAGGAAAGAAGCAGAGGAAGCCATCTTTTGGTTTGGAGAAGCCCACTCCACGGCTATGGCCGTACAGCCCATCACTTACGCGTTCGACATGGCTGGTTACTTTCCCTCTTCCCCTCGCCTGCCGGGAAGCTCTTCTGTCGCCCTCCAAAGGGCGGCGGGTTGCAGGGGTCCGAACACCACCAGAGGTGCTCAGGAGGAGGTCCTTCTGCAGGGATGGACGGGAACCGGGGATATCCTCTCACTCCAGGCAGGAAAAGGCGATAGTCAGGGGTGCGCAGGCACAGACAGGAGGATTCGATCGCTCGCGTCGCGATCCCGAGGCTCCGAAACCCTACCGCGGCCACTTAGAGGGACGCGAGGCGGAACCTAGCAACCGAAACGCCACGCCTGCGCAGTGCGGTTCTGCTCGCGCCTGGCGCGCTCCCCGCCCCCTGCGCTCTACGCGCCTGCGCCGCCGCCGGCTGTTTCCGTGGCAACCGCGCGGGACTCTAAGGCCGGCGAGTGGATGCGCGGATGGGAGCCAGGGCGTCGCGGGAGTCAGGGGGAGGCGCCGACCTCCGGGAGGACCGGCCCGGCCAGCGTTCTCGGGATGGGCCCGCGGTCCCATCCACCGGCTCCTCATCTCCTGGGCCGTCTTCCCGCGTGCCCCATTTTCCTCCATCTCCAGATAGGTAGCCTTGGATGAGCTCCTGAATGATTGTACCCTCAGTCTTCCCATCTGTGAAGTGGATGACGTCATTCCTTCGTTCGCAAACTTGCCTGGGCGTCTGGCTACTCTGGGCCAGGCACAGACTTAGGTTCTGGGGGTACAAGACAGATGCAGACGCTGCCCTCCTGGGCCTTAAGGAAAATGAAATAAGGCTCTAGTGTGTTGTAAATGTAAGATGTTATGTGGATGTTAGTTATTAGCAAGTCTCTGTGACGCAGTGTTTGCTTTCATTGTTCTTCTATCTTCCTCCTTAGTAACTGTTGAGATTTGTTTGCAAATTCTATAATCTGCAGTTCTTACAGGAACATATTCAGCACTAATGCAGTCGAAAGAGCATGGAGAGGGCATCCACAAAAAATGATGAAATGAACCTGGATCACGGAACCTCTGTCCCACGATTAGTGATAAAATGAACAAAAGAATAGTAAACGCCAGCAAAAAAAAAAAAAAAAAAAAAAAATGGAGCAAGCCAACAAAAAACTAAGTACGACTTCGTGCCGTAAACTTCAGAAACTGTACCCAATGAAATAGAAGCCTGCAGTGGAGAATGGCATTAATCTCATCTCCACTTCTCAAAAATCCCTACTGGGAAAAGAAGCCAAGTAGACAAAATACCAAGAATTCTTACTAATACTTTTTGGTATGAAGAAGACACGAATCTGAGATGAAAGGGTGAGTAGAGTAAGCAAGCCATCTGGGGAAATCCAGGTGAGATTAAAGCATCATCAGTGGAAACCAATCCCTACCACCCACAGGACCTGACCAGAGCCAGGAGAAATTGCTACTGTTTGCCGTTTTCTAGGGCTTTGCACTGAATTGAGGCAAGGGTTCAAAGTCGAAGGGCATTTTGTCACAGGAATGGGATACACTCCTAACAAGGGTAGGGGGGTGGTGGTAAATGAGTTTACCAAAATCTCAGAGAAGGCAGAGCCCAGACCTTGCAAGTGGATCGATCCTTATCCTCACTGTGTCTGCAGGCTATAGAAGGTAGATACAAGTGCCTCCTCCTGGCTCTCCAACTCATTCAGATACAGTGAGAAGGAAGTCATGAAGAATTTGCTCACATTACATTTGAACAAATAGACAATTTGCAAGAGCAACCAGTGTAATAAGAGAGAAGCTGCATATCCACTATGCAAGTCCAGGACTTCAGTAAAAAGGGAAGAGAAAAAAGGATTATAGCATGGTTGAGGCGGGTAAAGAACCTAGTCTGAAAGAAGACATAACCAAATAGAAGAAAATTCTTTACATGTAATAGAATAAGTTAGTAAGAACATTAATTTAATAGAATAAGAGCTGGGAGAGAATATAAAACAACATAATGAAAGGGAAGGAAGATTATATAACTAAGGAAATGAGATGAAAATCAGAAATAGTCCAATACAGAAACTAAATTAGAAAAACCAAGAAATAGACTTGGTGCAATTCATCTGAATTACTGACTTAGAGGAAAAGCTTGAATCAATTGCAGTGAATGTAGAGGAAAAAGACTGAGACATTTAAGCAATTAGAAAAAAGTCAGCTTGTTATATTCCTGAAAGAGATCTCCAATATTGATTTTTTTCACAGATATAAAGAAACATTTCTGAAATAAAAGAACTAAATCTGCAGATCAAAAGTTCTACATTCTAGGAAAAACTGACAGAGAAAAACCAACACCAAAGATATCCTGGATGTGTTATTGAACCTCAAGGAGAAAAAGTAGGAGGAATCTGGCTGGCCTCAGGTTTCTCCACAGTAGCTTTCAATGTTAGATGAAAAGATGGCAATATTTACAAAGTTCTTGGGAAAAATGTGGCCCAAGATATTTCTACTCATTGAAGTTAATATTCCCAAATATGAAAGCACTCAGGAAATATAACACTCATAAATTGGCATGTTTTCAAATGCAAGTAATAAAAAACCCAATGTCAATGGCTTAAACAATAAAAGGATTTATAATCTCCCTTAACAACAAGCATAGAGGTGAGGTGGTTTTGGACCTGATTATTTCAGGGGCTCTGTGACATCATCGGTCTTTGATGGTCTTTCCCTCTTTTGGAGCTGTCCTCCTCAGGATGTTGGATGACTTCTCTCGAGGTCACAAAATGTCTGCAGCAGCTCCAGACATTACGTCCTCACTTGGTAACATCTCGAGACAGGAAAAAGGACCAGCTGGGAAATGTGACCACCATTTTTGTCTCAGAGATAAATAAAAGAACCAAATCAGGACTCTGCCAGCATGGAAGAAGGCAGTGTGGGCTGTCATGCAGGCAATATTCAATGTGAGCCACAGCCCATGAGCTCTTCTAGAAGATAAATTACTTGATGATGAAATCCAGCAATCACAAGATACAAGTCATGTTAAAAGGACTAGCCCAGAACTGAATATGAGAAGACAGTGGACCAAGGTCTCCCAAATTCTGCATAGCTGGAGAACAAGTACAGCTGTCTTCTGATTATATCCCATGAGCTTTGCCAGTTGCTACACTTATTAACCATTTATTCTGTGCCAGGACTGTTTAGCACCTGACTAATATTCATTCATTAAATCTTCCCATTGACTTTATGAGGTGGGTGATATTTTCATCCACATTTTACACATGTGGAAACTGAGACTCAGAGAAGTTAAGCAATGGTATGTGCAAGACTGTACTCCAGTTGGTGGTGGAGTTGTTGTTCAAACCATCCGATAGTCTTGTTTCAAAGACTACACCGCTAACTAGTATCTTTTTTTTGGGAACAACACCTACTTTAATTAATATTTGTTAAAAAATTGGTTTTCTGTGAGACAAATGTTACTAAAAACAGTGGTTCTCAAACCACTTATCCCCTAAGAAAAAAATCATTGCTACCTAATTATGTAGCTACAGCAGCAAAGGTTACTTTGTCCCCAGTATTTAATAATTTATGCAGCTTCATAAGACTGCCAGGCTTCTGGGAAAATTCCTCTTCTCAGGCCTCTTGATACATATGAAGTCATTTGGGCAAATCTTTATTGATGCTCATTCTATGTAACGCACAATAGTTGCCACTGTGCAACAGAAAAAGATGACTCTGATGTGAATGAACTCTGCTTTCAAGGAGTAGAGGAGATAATCGTCCAGGAGAACTCAGGCTGCGTTATCGCAGGTACGTTTCTTGAGGAATGAGCCTCTGAGAGAAGAGCCCTCAGAGGTTGTCTCATCTACTTCTTGTCAGATGTGTCAAGCCCTCAGCACGTTCCTATCCCTTCAGCATCTCTTCTCTGCCAACACACTGGCAGTGAAAGGGAACACCTGGCCCCTCTAGAAAGTCCATTCTGGTTTTGGACAACTCTCACTATTGTTTGTTTTTACCCCAAGGCTCCAAGGCAAAGCAGAACAACCCTCTTCTACAGGAGCAGTCTTTTAAACGTTTAAGCCCATGTGCCCGCCCCCCCAAGTCATCTTGATTACGGAGCAAGTGCCCTCAAGTTCTTCACCATGACAAGATTTTAAGTCCCCTTGCGATCATTCTTTCAGTGACACTGTTCTCACTCAGTGTCCTTCAGATATAATTCAATGACACAATACCTTCTGGCTGGGGCTAGTGGGCACTCCATCAAGGGGCAACAAGGGCCCTACCTTGGGTCCCCACTGCTTCCATCTGTCGTTGAACGGCCACATCACGTTGTTGATTCATGTGGTGTGCACAAGTGACCACACCTCTAACTCTCCCCACAGTTCTCCTGCTGAGCCACCTCTGTCATTCAGTGTGTTCACCATCCCATCCAGTTCCACGTCCTCCCTCAGATCTGACCCATAGATGGAAATGTTCTCTGTGAGAAAGCCAGAGAGCCCGACAGCACAGCACTAGAAATGTGTCCCAGTTACCATCAGTCGACAAGTTACAATCCTGCCCAGCCACCCTGTCATCTGGCTCACGTTTCTCCTTGTCCTCAGCACTTCCATGAGATAAGGATGTTGTCAAAGGCATCGCTAATATCCAGCCCTATTATATCTAGAGCGTTGTCCTTATCTACTAGGCTAGTAACTGGACATTTGAAATTAGGCTCATCTGCTGTGCCTTGTTTTTGGAGAAACCAAGGTGATAACACTTGGTTATCTCTGCTTCCTTTTCTAAGAACTCACAAACCATTTTAATGATCCGTTCTGGATCTGCATGAAGTTTGCTAGCCCAGAACCTGACCGTCTTTTCTTTTAGGAGTCACCAGTCACTCAGAACCTCTCCACAGAATCTACTGTAATTTTTTTCAGTGCACCATGATAATTCAGCCAGACCTGGGGACTTGGTCCTCACTCACACTTGAGTCTCCCTGGAGGCCCACACCAGAGTTAAAACGCCCCGAAGCAGCTCATCTGTCCAGACCTCTGCCTATATCAACTCATGCTGCAATGGAGAGCAAGGCCTTTTCACACCACAAGGTGGCGTGCAAGCCAGGAACCAATAAAAATGGGGCCCTGCTTAATGCCTGCAGGGCCACCTTCTCACTCAAGGACCCAGCCTCCTTGCCCTCCTCCTTCCCTAACAAATGCCCCACCCATTCTTCCAGAAACAGCAAGACTAAAGCATAAGAAGACAGGAAAACACTCTACCGTAAGACCAAGCTGTACACACCCAA